TTATTAAACTTAAGAAACTTTGAAGTTTATAGCAGTTCAATGAAACATTCTGCCATAGTCAGTGTTATAACTCCTCGACCCTTTCTATTTATTACACTTTTAATCATTTCTTTTATGTAGTCATAAGTCTGTGTCTTGAGGTTGTCATAGTTACGTGAAATTTCACCCTTTAAAGTTATGATAGTTATGGTTATCTGGATTTTCCACTTGACAAACAACTGCTCAGGGTTTCTTATCACCTCTGTGGTAGACTGTGGATCACAGAGTACTGGGAAAGACGGCCAGTTGAACAATAATTGTAACAAACAAGACTCCATGTGCTCTGAAAAGACATGAGAAAAGAGATGTTTAAAACCTACTAAAGAGGAAATGCTTTCTTCAGTGATTTTGTGGGAGTAGGATTACTATTGGAAAGGACTTCATAATTTGTCTTAATGTAGATTCTCAGTGAAGCATTTTATATACTGAATTAACAGTCTAGACTATCACAATGACAATAATAAGAACAATAATAATCACCTGACATATGTACAGCTATTACTGTGTCCAATATTGTACTAGTATTTTATGCCTAGTATTTTATGTAGGTATAGTTTAAGTATGACAAAAACTATATTAAAAGTGTTATACAAATTTATGGTATCTTGAGCCAGGTGTGGTGGCCCACTCTTGTAATTCTAGCACTTGGGAGGCTGAGGCAGGAAGATCATTGTGAGGTCGAGGCCAGCCTGGGCTACAAAGTGAGTTCAAGACCAGCCTGAACTGCATAGGAAGACCAAAAAAAATTTTGTGGTATCTATAATTGCTAAATAATCTACATAATATAGTTAAGACAATTTGCAATTATTTGATTAAAATAAACAAGGATAAGACACAGATGATAATGCCACAGGCAAAGCAGGTATACTAACAAAATCAGTCATGCACCCAGAACATATTACCAAGAATCTATGAAGAAATGACCTAAATTTGTCTAACCTTTTATTTTCCAGCCAGGGTAGAGGAGAAATATGATCACAAAATTAATTCCTTTTAAGAAAAAGTTGGTGATTCCAGAGAATAGTAGTGATTCCTAAAAATTAGAGCAGGAAACATTTCCTGGTGATGAGCATGGAGAAAACGCTGCAACTGAAGGACCAGGACCCTCATGACACTGAGACATAAACACAGGTGCATCATGGAGCACTGCCTGTGAGCTCCTTCCACAGAGACTGGGGAACACTACATCAGAAGTCACTTATCAACACCCCAACACGTTCCCGTGTCCCCCTCAGACCGACTGGCTTAAACTAGAGCCACGAAGGAGAATCAATGGCACGTAGGTCACAGCGAGCAGGTGGTGCCCTCTCTGCGATGTTGTCATGAGTTGTCTGAGTGTTTTTTCTAAATCAAAACTTCAGTGTTCAGGTGTAATTGCAGTGTTGGCGCTCTGCGATAAATAAGCACACTCTGGCTACAGTTTGAGCACTCAGTCTCCAAGAGTGTCGCCATCACTGATCTAGAGGGAGATTTCAGTTCACACTTACTCTGAAGATATAAAATTTTATACCCTTCAGAAAATTTCTAATCATTGATCTCTCCTCAGTTGAGCTTTTGGTGTAAAATTAGGTAACTGGATTCAATATTATATTCTTGGAAAAATATTTAGTATAAAGCTCTTGTCTGCTGCCTTTTCTATGTGGAGATATTGGCTTTAATAACAAAGATGAAACTGAGAGTGAAGAATATAATGAGGCTAGAAGAATATAATAAGACCAGAAGACAAGCATTGAAATGTTGTACTCATTTGAGAAAGATTTTCTGGAGGAGAACTAGAGAGAAAGGGAGGGAGGAAGGGAGGAAGGGAGGAGGAGGAGACAGACAGAGAGACAGACAGATAGGAGAGGGTATCATTAATGTTTCCTATATTGCACAAAATTTGAGAAAATGGTTGGGTGGAAGAGTTACAAAGGGGGATAATATTTATGGAGTGACTTTGTTTATTAGACACCTACTCACAGGTGTTCAAATGGAGGAGAATTACAAGTCCCCAATTTAGCAGTAAGTATACCTGGGGGCTCACAGATGGGTGTGCTTGGCCAAGCCACCTTAATTGAAAATTCTGACCGTAAATGAAAAGTTGCTGATGGTAGAAACAGTCTACTACAGAGGAATTAACAGAAATCACTGTATCCAACAAAAGCTGACTTTTCTAATTATGGCCAATGGCAGCAGAACAGAACCAAATATAAAATGCAAGAATCTCCCACTGAAGAAACACAATAGCACCTGTGTACTGAGCATGACTGATAGCTCCTATGGCAGAACATTAGGCTTCCTGGTTATTTGCTTGAAGATGTTTCTCTCTGGAGAAGGGGCCAGGAGAAAAGGTCAACTTGGGGAAAATGAGACTTTAGAGTACTGGCCAGAATCGTTATCAAAACAAACTAAGGAAAGCACCAGGCCAGGAAACCGGTTTTCCAAACATGCTTATCTTATTTGGGTGAGCAAGACCCTGGATGTCCTGGTGTTTTGTGATGACCAAGAAATGCACTACGTTAAACTAAAAGCAATTTCCTATAAATTCTTCATTCAATTAGACATCATGTTCTATCAGATTCAACTAAGGAAGTCATGGGTGAGGTTAAGTCTTTAATATCAGAAAACATTTCGGATGACTTTTTCATTTTATTTTTTCTGGTATACATGGAAAATTTACTGCCACCAGACAAGATGTTGAAGAGCAAAATAAAAACTGATAGGTTTCCCAGGACTACCGGAAAGCTTAGCAAAGCAGACTTCTGAGATGAACTGAAAAGACCATTTGAACAGTGATTTTCAAAATAACATGCCCAGTTACTTCACGGCCAGCTCTTTCCTATTACAGTCACTCTGCTCTTTTTTGCTCTGTGTCAACTAGTGTATTGAAGGATCTATGCAGAGCTTTGTATTTAAGAGCAGAAACTTACTTCTGTAGATTGTGATAGTAATGTAGACAGGTCAGGTGACAGACAAGTCTATTATTATAAATTTCTACATGAGGAAAGCAGCCCTGAGAGGCAGGGCTGTGCAGACAGGAGACAGTGGCCAATCTCCCTGGTGTTTGTGGTTAGTTTTAGGTTTTCCTCTGTCACCAGCCAGGTACGTTACAACTCGTGCATAGACAGAGGCTGGGTGAAAAGTGCTTTCCACAGGGTAAGAAGATGTCTCCACCCAGTGGCCCACACAGAGAGCCATCAGCAGAAACAGTGCGTTTGACATAAGCAGCACTGACTTTTTTTTCTTCTTTTTCTTTTGGTACTGGGAATTGAACTCAGGACCTTGTGCCTGCCAGCCGGCACTTGTGCCACTGAGCTATCTCCTCAGCACTGACTTCTGTGAGGGACACTCTGGTTACTCATGGCTGCCCCTGAACCACAGGAGACTTCTTTCCCAGCCCTGTTGGACTCAGCGGCCCAGCGACTCAGCACTCCTCTACGCAAGGAACAGACGCCTTACCAACAACCCCAGCCTCGTGTGCTGCATTTGTTTAACTCAAGACGCACCACTAATCTCAGAGGGAAAACATGTGCTGTGTTCATTGTAGACCTTGAGACGTAGGATGTATATCTTTAATTTTTAAAAAGAGGTGCGACTTGGGATCAGTCAAATATTGTTTCTTCCCTTTGCAGTAATGCCTTAGGTTTTGCCATTTCCAGGGCATTGGTCATGGCAGTGAGGAGACAGATGTATCCTCATGCTAGTAATACCACACAGGGGCAATAGAGACAGCCGCTGAGCCTGGCTCACCGAGGTGCTAAGCGAACAGAAAGTGGACTTAGCCAAGCAAGAGAAGGGGTGACGGCCATGGGCCATGCACAGCGACCAAGAGAAGCCAGGCTTTGGGAAGCTTGGGATGTACTTCAAGTAGACAGTACTGGGTTCCACAGACAAAAGACTCAGCTGATTACGACAAAGGGATGCCGAAGACGGGAGGGGGTGTTTTTTAAATTAAAAACCTTGCTGAGTTTGAAGGAGAGGGCAAAAATTTTTCATCTGTCTCCACTGTCAGCTTCCTATGCATGTGAAATATATTTATTATTTTCTAAATTAATGTAATGAGTTCCAGACTGCCCAGGATGTCATAATGGAAACAGGATTATACAAGATAATATGGCATTTTGTCCTCTAAGTGAGTTCCACCTAGATTCCCTGTGTTGTCCTTTTGATCTGAGCTGTGTTTCAGTTACCACATTGAAGGAGGTTACATAAAGGGTAAAATAATAGAAACTTAATCAGGAAATAGGCTTTCGTATTGCTGTATTTTATTATATACTCTTGCCATATTCCATAGCCTAATTCTTGAAATTAATAAAAGATGTGTCATTTTAAAATAAGGACAATTGAAACCACATTGTATTGTAATTATGCGTCTTTCTTCTGAGCCTTCCCAAGTGTTTCGCAGCAAGTGGGCATCAGCACAACCTTGTGGATGTTTTAAGGGTTACTGGTGGGAAGTATAAACTTCCTGAACTCTACCTTCTTTAAAAAGCTAGGTAAATATTATTGGCTGATGAATTTAATTTTAGAGATGAAAAACACAAAATGGTAAAATAATATCTCAGAAACAGATCCTTTTTTTTCCAAAAGCCCAACGCAGTAACTTTCCACTGGAGAAAAGTGTCATGCAGACTGGCTCCATTAGTCAGGCTGTAGAACTCCAGTGCGGAACTATGTTCCCATAGTGCACTGTCCTGGTAGATGAGGATAAAGAGTCAGAGGCACATGTGATTGATTTTGCTAATGGAATGCTATTTTCTGGTAGACCAATTTCCACACAACCCAGAACACAATGATTATTCTACTAGGTAGGCATTCGGCTTCGGAAAGTTTATGTCCTTGACATTTCTTGCCATCTTCCAACCATTGAAAACTTCCAACTTGGCAACAAGTCCTCGCCTCAATTTACAAATGCATTCTTTGGAGAGTGGACCTGACTCCTCTAACATTTTCTCCTTTTGTTTTTTCCTCCTCCTGCGCAGATAATCCCCACGGGCACAGCCTGGAGGAGAGGATCATCTACGGAGTAGAAAACAGCAGCACCTTCCTGGAGTGCAGCCCCAAGTCCCAGCGCGCACTGGTGTACTGGCAGTTCCAGCGGCGGAACGAGGAGCGGAAAGAAGAGGTACTGGGTGCCACTGCCCGGACTGTTTCTGCCTAGCGTCACTGTTGACCGCGGGATAGAGAAGTACTGACAGCCCTCCCGGTCCTCACAGCTCGTTCACAGCGAGCACGCATTTGCTGAGGGCTGTTGAGACGCCAGGCCGGATAGGACTTGGAGGAGCAGTGTGATGGCAGCAAGGTTCTGCCGCAGGGGCACCAGGGACACGTTCCAGGGCCCCCTGCGTCTCACTGAGATCATCTGCAAAGCCAGTATATCACATTTCTCCATCTAAGCAGTCAGACATTCCAGTTTAACTTCTGCTCGCTGAATTCTTGTATTCCCACTTGTTTCCTTTCTTTCTGACTTCCTCACATTGGGAAGGAGTGGGGAGCAGAGGGTAGGAACCGAGAATGAGGTGCTGAGAACTGCCTACTGCTCCACAGTGGAGCTGCCATTTCCTCTGTAAAAGCCAAGTCACAGACAGTCTCCGAGAGAATGCCGAGCCTTTAAGAACATTTAACTGCATTTAAAAATGTCTGGACTGGCTGATTTGCAAAATGTTTTATGCGTTAATAATTTTACCAGTGAATATGACTATAAAAAACTACTCCCATTAGTAGTTTTTTGACATTTTAAACAGTCTCTATATAATCACATTGTGCAAATGTCAATTGATTTTATACACTGCCAGGCTGGAATTCTAGAAATTTCTTTTGTAAACTGTATTCAGGACAAAAGTAAGAGCATAGTCTCCTTTTTATGTCCCATTCAATGCCTGATAAGTTAAACAAATGCTTAGAAATTTTAAAGTTACTTATTTTCTTCCTGTTGTCCAACTCCCAGTTTATATTTCTTTCATTTAATCTCAGTTAAGTCCATTTTAATCACCTACTGTTTTCTCTGCCATGGTTTTGTCTTACCAGTTTAAGTATCTAATGTTAACTTTGTGTCATAGATAAATACCTACCTTTCAGTTTATAAGATAAAATCACATATTTGTTCTTTCCTCCCTTTACCTTGGTTATTTAAATTTTTTATAGGAAATCTTAGTGAAGCAGTAGTATGTGGAGCCAGGGATACAGCTCAGTGGCACAGCACCTTGCTTGGCAAGTGCAAAGTCCTGACTTTGATTCCCAGTACCAAAAATAAAAAAGTAAAAATAAAGCAGTGATACAGCCAATATTTTCCAGTGATCTTAAAAACAATGGATGGTTGCAACTCTTTTCCTAGACACAAAAGTGCTGTCCTCAATCTCCAATTAGAAATTGTGTTAACTACTAACTTGCACCTAAAAAAAAAAATCTGAATTTTTCCTGAGATCTTCAGGTCTCATATGCTCAGGAAATACGTGGGTTGTGTAATACCTCTCTCTTCCCCGCTAGATCAGAGTGGACGACCACATCGTCAGGACGGAGCAAGGTCTGCTGCTGCGTAGCCTGCAGCGCAAGGACTCGGGCACCTACCTGTGCCATGCCGTGGAGCACGGGTTCATGCAGACTCTTCTCAGAGTGACGCTGGAGGTCATCGACACGGAGCACCTGGAGGAACTTCTGCACAGAGACGACGATGGGGATAGTTCCAAGACCAAAGAGATGGCCGGCAGCCTGACCCCGAGCCAGAAGGTCTGGTACAGAGACTTCATGCAGCTCATCAACCACCCCAACCTGAACACGATGGACGAGTTCTGTGAGCAGGTGTGGAAAAGGGACCGGAAGCAGCGCCGGCAAAGGCCAGCCCACAGTCAAGGGAACGGCAACAAGTGGAAGCACTTACAGGAGAACAAGAAAGGGAGGAACCGGAGGACCCACGAGTTCGAGAGGGCACCCAGGAGTGTCTGAGCTGCGTTACCTCTAGAAACCTCAAACGAGTAGCAACTTGCCTAGACAATAACTGGAAAAATGCAATATACACGAACTCTTTCCATGGCATTACGTGGGTGTTTACAATGGTGAAGAATTCAACTGAGTTCCACCAATTATAAATTAAGTCCATGAGTAACTTTCCTAACAGGCTTTCTTCCTAATACCAACAGCTACGAAGGCTGCAGGTGCGCACGGATGTTCACCCTAGCAGACTGTTTCCTACGAGAATCCATTGTACAAGTTCCACCTCCTTTGCCTGAGAAATTAAAATGTCCCTTGCCATATTGCCATCTGCCGGAGAATAACTGCATCAGCAAAGCCATCATATTGAACTAGAAGTTTAAAGGAAACTGCATGGATTTACTGAGCTGATGAATATTCCAAAACGTGGTTGGATGCGAAGATATTTTTTTTTGTCTACCAGCACTCACATTTGTACGTACTGCAGGAGGAAAATAAGGAAAATGATACTGAATGAAATGGTCTGTGGAAATGTAAAATACATAAACCATCCAGCGTCCAGAGGCAAAATGGAATACACTGATCTACTACTGATGTCTTCTTTCAGCTTTGACCTAAAGATGTATTTTATTAAAATGATAATTTAAATGTATCAAGACAAATATGCAGTAAAAATTAGCTGTTTTCTAAGCTAGAGTAGCTTTTTGTCTTACAATTATTGTGCTATATCGTTGGTTTTAAAAATTCCAAATGTGTGCTGCTTTTATTGACATTTTTTTTTTAGTTCTGTAAGGAGGATAGCTGGTATTGTCCTAGATACACATCTGTTATTAACCATCAATTCCTAAAGCCAAGATATAAATTATGCTTTATTTTTTTGAGGAAATCAAACAAATGAAAGCTGTTCACACCTCCCTTTCTTTAAGTATTACCTAAGTTAATTTTAACTTGTGTAATGTTCCTAGAAAAACAGAATATAACCAGCAAGAAAAGGGAAAAATTGATTTGTCAAATGCATTTTACTTTACGTAAAAGCTCAAAGGAAAGATAATGATCTGTACATCTTATAAAAATAACAAGCATGGTCCTAATACAGTTAGTAGAAAGTGTCTCCTAATTCTGTGCTTGAATTTGAGCGTGATGCATGAGACATAAAAACTCTCTTATGATTCCACTAGGAATTAATGGATCACTGAATGATTCTGGAAAAGACAGAGAAATCAGTAACAGGCTGAACAAATTGTAAAGGCACATTTCTTACCTTCAGAATCAGCCCCTCGTATCTCACCTGCTGAAGAAAATAACCCTTATTAAAAATATATGACTCTTTCCAAGTCGGTGGGCATGGCTTTTATACATACTAGTTTCCAAGAAAGGACCCAAACTACAAAACTGTAAAATTCTTTGTTTGCTGCCACAACTTCCAAAATTAGGTAAAAGATTTGTCTCCAAGAATTTGTCTTGTTGTCCTGAGGAGACTGTGAGCATCTCTGGCATGGAGACACAGGGGCTTTCCACACTGTGTCTTTGTCAGGAACACTTCCCTGCCCGGTCCCTTCACTGGGCACACAACAACCAGGAAGGCAGCTTCCTGCTAATTAAAGGAGGGACATTGAAATTTAACTCCAGTTGTCTTGGGACTCTAATTAACTCAGCGTAAATTTCTCTCCTCAGACAACAGAAAATTCTTATTCTTCCTCAGCTGAGCTATTTCCCAGAAGGAAGCTCATGTCTCCCTTTTAATGATGATTTGAATAAACAACTTGTTGACATTTGTTTCACATAAAAGCCTAAAAATTGTCTACCTCCAATTTTAGGCACCATTGACTAAGATGGCTCTGTTTTGGACATGTATTTTCAGAGGGAAGTTGAACTGTTACACAATTGGAAGAACACACTCCTGTACAGAAAATGTTTGGAATATAAATCAAAGAATCGAGACTGCTGCAAAAGTAGCTCATTATTTCCACTTTAGTACAGTATCTTAACTATATTAAAATTCAGTGTTGCATTTCATTCTAAATTTTCAGCTGAAACAAATTTATTTGCAGTAACAAGAGTGTTTTATTTCTTTTTAGTCCTTAAAAATAAAAGGATTTGAAGGGAAAGAGATTGTATAATAATTTCATGGATACCTTCCAAAATCTGAGAGTGTTTTGTTTAACATTAAAAAATATCAATAGAAAATCTCTAGACTTTAGTTCAAAGTATCCAAAGCAAACGAGTTACTGGCATACCTTTAAAAACCATCATGTCTGAGATTTTGGAAAAAATGCAGATACAGTGTGCCGGTAGCTAACTGCTATCACAGTCACAGTCTTCTGTTGATGCGTACTGAGAGGGGACAGCTTGCATGAAAAGGAATTCATGCCTCACTTAATAACTTAGTTTTAATGGCTGCCGGCCTGTGCATGTATCATCAGAGATGAAACTTGGTTGAGAGACTCACACGACCTTCAGCAAATTACAATAGCAACCTTAAAGTATGAAAAGAGACATACCAGAAAGGAAATTATGACCCCGTGGAAATCAAACGTAAATGCATGTAAATGCACACGTACTGCTTCTTTTAATGTATTATTTAGTGATTTTTAATGATACGTGTTTAATATTTTTGCTACCTACACATTAGGCAAAAGAGATGTAAATGGTTTTGAACAGAAGAGGAAGAACAGTGTAAGACAGAAGTTTCCGTAGGTCCTCCACGGCAGTGTGCTCGACGTCACCCTGAGGCACAAGATTTCTCCACACAGGGGCAGGGTGGTTGATGTGCTCTTCCAGGCCGGAAGGAAGAGGCCCATTCAGTTAGCATGTGTTTTGCCAGAGAGTAAATATGTTCCATATCTATATTTATCATTGCATTTCAGATGGGAACTAAAAAACTGGAGAGTCAAATGTAATGAAACTGCTGCTGTAAATTATTCCTTTTAGCATGTACTCAGTTGCTAAATACACATTTCTTCAAAATATTTGAATTCAGATGTCTTTACTGGTTCCCTGTAACATATGGTATTAAGGAACATAAGCTTAGAAGATTTCGAGAAGCAGAATCAGGTTGCTATATAATTAGCTAACAGATTTCTTCATTGTAGTCATCTGTAAATTGGAGTCTATATTTATGGTGATGATACAAATTTTTATGCCCTTTAAATTAAATATTGTTCCTTTTTATGTCATATCTAAAAAATATAGGAATGAAATTCTATACTATGTCATGTTCATAGTAATTTTGGTTTCATTCAGGATCTGCAAAGATGTCAGCTTATTTTTGTTGTTATTACTGATCCTGGAGGTCTTGGGGAAACATTTGATCACTATAGCGTCATTAGTATAACATTTGAAATCTTTGTCTTGTAAATTCATTTTTAGCACAACTTCAATTTAATGGAAATCTATCAGGTTTCATGGCTTCAAAGACACATTCAGCAGATAGAATTCAACATCTCCTTATTTTGTAACAACGTGCTAGATATGAACTAACATGCCAAAGGCACTCATGATTTTACTTTACCTTTGTCTGTAATGATATAAAGTCAATGTTAATGTCTTCAAAATACATGTTTCCATAAAGAAGAAAACATTATTTTTCAAGAAGTCTGCAACAGTCCTACTAGCTTGCTTGGTTTCTGCCAGTGTTTGTGCGCTAGTTAATTAGAGAGACGGGCGTTTTTAAGCTGAAGGGTGAAGAGGACCCCCAAAGACATAGTGTGGCTGCCTGAGTGCGGCTCTTACCCAGGGCCATTGGCCCAACCAGCCCCTCCGACGAGACCCTCTTGTTCGTTCAGACACTCAGGCACACACAGGCAGGGCACGGGGGCCGCTCACAGTGAGACCATACAGAAAAGCTCATCTGAGCCACAGGAACCTGGGCTTCTGAACACCCTAGCCTTCAGAGCCCCATTTGTACCTCTGCAGAAGCGTCTCTGATTTTAACTTTCATTCTATGCTGTTAGGGGAGGAGATGCTGGGACAAGTGAGGCATGACTGCATCCTCAAAGAGCTCACGGAGAAGTGAGGGAGGCAGAGGCAGGGCTACCACCTCGTTATCTGCAAGTCTTTTCTGACCAGCTGACCCCAGCCCGTGCTAGCCAGCCCCTGTGCAATGCCTTTCAATGTTCTCTGTGTGGCCCCACTGATCACAGAAATGGGGTTCATTGCTCATGGCCCAGTTTCCAGACCAGGAGCTGCTTGAAGCCGGGCTTGCATGGCCCCCGAGGCCTAGCAGGATGCTGAGAACGAGGAGAAGCTCAGCAAATCACTGTGACAGAGCTGCTGCTCACATCGAGTGCCAGGGTGGAGTTCACAGCAGAAATGCTTAAGCTCAAGCGGAGCAAGGAGCTGCTGTGCGAGGAGGGATGGCAGAGGAAAGGTCACGGGAGAGCTGTGCGCTGGGACATCAGGCGGATCACGCAGGTGAAGAGAGAAGACGGTCTGGGTGGAAAAAATGACAGGGAGAGGTGAGGCAAGTGCGCATGCCCACAGCAAGCTGTGCAGACACAGAGCGCAGGGCTCTGCAGGGCATGGGAAGCCCTGTGGCAGTGGCCCGAAGGGTGCGCTTGTCCGTCTTTTCCTGGACTTCAGTTCAGTGGCCTCCATTCACAGACCACATGCTCATCCCTGGAGCGTGGTGACGCATGTCACACATGCCCCCTCCTGCTCCCCACACTCTCCATCCTCTCTTCATGCGGACCTCCGTTTCCTTTACCCAGCCAGAGCCTCAGTACGGGGCAGTGTTCGTACCATCTCCAAACCAGACTTTATGACAAGTCACCCCGGCAGGCTGCTGCTGGGATTGTGAATTCCACCATAGAAGGGAGACGAGGTGCTTGCTTTGCCATGTTGGCCCCTCTGTGCTCCGAGTTCCAGCGCTGTTCACCGTCACGCTTCGCCTATCTACTCTAGTGTTGGAGCCCGTGGCGGGCAGGTCCGAGCTTGCTTTGCTAATTAGCAGTGTAGCGTCTGCAAAATGAGTATTAAAATGTGAAGTCTGTGTTTGTTTGTTCAAGGGATACCCTGGCTGGAGTAATTCATGGCTAGACAATGCTGCCAGCGAGATTAGCACACACAGGCAAAGATTTCTATATTTTATACGAAAGTTTAAAAAGAAATGAGGGCTAGCTTCATTCTGAATCTGTCAACTCCACTCCACCATTAAATTAAACTGTCTTGTTTGTTCTCATATAACAAAGGAATGTATTTTATTTCTCTTAATCTAAACATTATACTTGCAGATGCAGTGTTTATTTATACAGTACCTAAGCCAAAGTTCTCTTGAATGTGTTCAAGTCCTCACAGCTTGAGTAATTCTGACGTCTCAACTTCTCCTTTCTCTTTGTAAACCTCACTGGAGCATTAGACCTCAAGTAAATACATTTGAAAATCCATGTCATTTGTGCAGCCCGGTTCTTAATGCTTTGTTGGTTTTGTTGATAGCTAAATCTAGAGAAATCTAAACTATTTTAGACAAAGTTTGTGTCTAAAATTCAACAGCTTTTCCACGTTAGGTTTTTTTTTGTGCATCTCAATTTTCAGGGAAAGTATGTTTTTGCATTTCAAAAAAGAATGACAGTATTACTCAGCTTTGAATACTGTACTTTATTCATGCAGTGTTTTTAATTATTAGTAAATATGAACAAATTAATTCAAGTCCAATTCTCTATACACATTTTAATAAATTCCACTTGAATTTGGGTGCTGGCTCTTTATGGTGCATGGTGGTGTCATTTTCATTGATGCCATCACCAGTTTCAGAATCACTACTCACTTTATCCTTTGCACTACTTTCGCCCCTAATAACATATCAGTTGAAATTATTTATACTTTATTTGGTTTGGGAATTGGGTTAAATTATTACTGTGAATGTTATAGAACATCACAAGAAAAAAATCCAGTATTCATAAAAAGTATATGGTCAGCAAGTACTCAATACTGAATACTTACTATCACGAAGTACGTTCACTCAAAGAATAAGAACATCCTCACTCTATCATTACTGTATTCATCAACATTATCATTGTAGTAGTCATTGCGGGAATGGGAATGGTAATAGTAATATTACTTGCGTACTACATACTTATTTCTTAGTGAAGTGCTTTATTTTTTACTTTTTAAACCATTACTACAGCTCTCAAATGGCTGCTTTAGTCGGTGAATACATCAAGACATACAGTGGTTAAGTAGCTGAGTCTTCGATCTGCACAATCAAAAGTGATAGAAATAAAGTTCTAGCTCTTGTGTCATTCATGGTTAGCTATGTTCCTGGAAGGACAGCTTGCTACTGTAAATGGAAGGGAAGGGACCACACTGCATAGAAAGAGAGAAAGAGAATAAAAAAGAGTCTTAAAGGGTTAAAGTGGGAATGGATTCTGGCTCGACTGAGGAAGAGATGAATCTCAGTTCTTCAGGAAGCCAGCAAGGATGACTGAGCCCACACAGCAGCCACTCAGGAACAGCCGGTGCAGGGCTGGACAGCCAGCTCCGGCCTTCACGCGTGAGGACTTGAGGCTTCCTCTCATTCTTCCCCGGGCCTCGGTTCTCCCACCTACAAAATAGATTTCTCAGTTCTTCATCCATAAAAGCAAAACCATAAAGACTTTAGTCATAAAGGGGAAGAAATAAGAAACATTTTCATTTAACACTAATCAATGTTCACTTTTTTTAAAAAAAGTTCTGATAAGGATGAGAAAAGATATTCCCTCTCTTTTGAAGGAAAATGTTCTTGATCATTCTTATTACCACATATTCTAGTCAAAATTAATTTATCCTTTATCCTAGTCAAAATTAATTATCATAGCAATAATTTTCATGCCCACAATGTTCAATCAACATATGTCCACTTCTTGCCTTTTCTGATCAATATTTTAAAGAGATTTCCAATTAAAGATGTACTATGTTTGCATTTGAACTTGCAAACTCTCCAAACCCCATTAAACCAAGACACAAACATTCATGTTTACCTTTGAACTATATTAAATTTTAATTCTTGTCTAGCCTCATCACCTCAGTGACGCATTTGACAGTAAATCCATTGATTACTCCATTGTAAATAATCACTTGTATATTTTTCAATATGCAATTTTAAAGGTCTGTATTTTCAAGCATGAAAAGGAGACATTTCTCTAACTTTTTTATTTTTCAGAGATCAAAATAATTCTTATTTTATGCAGACTCAATAAAATAAACTATATTGCATTAAGTGTACTTTCACACATGAAAAATCTTGATACATAGTCTAAGCAATTGCAAGCACTGATGAAAAACTTTCAAAAGTAACATCAAACTGGAAGAAATATATCTTATAGAAGAAACCATATATCTTGTACCAAGATATAATTCATAGGAAGAAAATGTAAGAGCAAGCATTTATTAATAGTCTCCCAAGGACACATGAAAAGACCCCTACCACAATTCACACCTTGGCATATAATAATTTATGCAAAATGGTTCCCTTTAAAATGCAAAGATGAAAAGAGACATGACACCTCAAACCCTACTGAGCTAAGGGTAAACACAAGAAATAAACCATATGTGTTGTGGGAGGCGATTCCACAAAGAAACTGTTAGGGAAAAATGAACCCAAGCCATGACACGATCCAGATGTTCACTAATATGAATGTCTCAGCAAAATCCGAGGGACTTCAAGGCCTGGTTGGAGAGGATAGATGCTCCCAAAGTGTGAACCCTGACAGGGTCCGGTTATTTGGTAATTCTTCTGAAATAACTGCTTTCTGTTTGAAGTATTGTCGTCTTTCAGCCTTCACTATCTTGGAAGTTGATAAAAAGCAGCATAAAAATATGAAACAGCTACAGAGGCTTGGAAGAGCAGTTGTTCTCTTCAGAGGGTTTGAGAGGCCATTCTGGCTGGTGCCGGGGAGCAACTGCATACACCGGACAGTCAGGAAGGGGGAGGTTGGGACCAGCACAGCATTTTATAGCATCCACAGGGGACAGAGCATGACACAGAAACATAGGCCGTGTACACATGTATGCGAGGCAATGGTGACAGTAATTGTCACAGAAAATTTGAGTCGGTTTCTTCCCGGCAGATGCACCCTCCAGTTACTTCCTTCTGGCCCTGGTTCTCAGGGCTCCCCATCACCCCCATATTTAAACGCTTTCATGGGAGACCACACAGCTCCGCTCATCCACTCAGTCTCCACTTATGAGCCACAGGAGGAGACAAAGCACTTAGTGTAATGTTAAGGGATTGAGCTGGAGATTTCTCAAAACAAGAAATTTTAAGAACACAGTGAACAAAAAAATAGCCAGTGTTGTGAAGGAAGGAAGGGAGACTAGGGTCTCGGAAAGGTGAGGGAAGAAAGTGCTTTGATCTCAAAGGTAGTGTAATCATAAAATGAGCAGAGATAGCATAGCTTTATTAACATCAGAAGTGCCTATCTTCTTGCCTCATTTCTTTTTAACCCTGCTGAACATCCCAGTCCCATGTGTTATTATTGATGTCCACCTCATCTATTTGCCCACAAATTCACTAAATCCACCCACCTCCACATGTAGCCACAAAATAGTGGGAACGGTTTTGCATAAATTATTGTATGCTGAGGTGTGAATTATGGTAGGGTTCTTTTCATGCATCCTTGGGAGACTATTAATAAATGGTTGTTCTTACATTTTCTTCCTGTGAATTATATCTTGGTTCTGCAGGCCTGGGCATCATCTGGGAGAAACACCCATCCCACCACACCTGGGCCTACCCAGTCTGGGCCCCCACAGAACATGGTATCAAGGTGACTGTGTGTGCAGAAACATCTGAGGGCCATGTCCAGGCAACTCAGTATGAAGATTTGGATCCAGTTCTCCTGGAGGGGCACAAGTTTGGATTATCTTCACTGTGCCTGGTGGTTGGTGGGTCCCCCGGCCCCTGAGGTCCGGTGGAGAAGAGATCAGACCACAGACACTGAGATGTCAGTGCCCACATGTCAGGCTAACCACCAGGTCCATTTATGAAGAGCAACTGTTAAATATACTTGAGAATGATTATTGCAGAAATCAATAGAAAATTGCTATAGTTAACCACTACTTACACAGCAAAACTGCAAGCTGAACTAGAGGTAGAATTTCACTTAGAAGATTACCTCTGCTCTTCAGCTGTTAAAAGTGAGGTTTCACATCTTTTTGTTTAATTTGCATGACACAAAACACAGCAGTCAGATGCACTGGCATGTACCTACGATTGCAGCTACTCGGGAGGCTGAGGTGAGAGCACCACGCTTTCGAGGCCACCATGGGCAACTTAGCAAGACCTTGCCTCAAAACAAAAAATAAAAATTGCCTAGGGTGTAGCTCACTGGTAGAGCAATGTGCAGCAGGCGTGAGGTCCTGGGTTCCATCCCCAGAACCACAAAAAGATGGGCAGAAAGTGAGAAAATAATATGGAAACTCAGCCCAGAAGTGGTTTGGTCTGGCCTCGGGGTCACATTCCTCAGATGGGTGGGCCAACTCAATGGGAGAGCCCACCTTACGGCTAACATGGCTCCTCCTTTTCTTTATATTTCCCTGGAGAGTAAAAGTACAAATTTTCCTGGATTCTTCCAGTATTGGGTTTCCTGAACTTTGGCACAAGTGTGAAAATTGCTGTTTGAATTTCTCAACAATTTTCTCCAGTAACATTATAGTATTTTTATTCTGTGGAAGAAATACAGTCACTGAAATATTTCCTATAAATAGCAATACTCAGATTACCAATAGAAAGAGCTTTTAAATTTAAATATGCAACATTAACAAATACAGTAGCCAAGGACACTTCCTCAGAATATCTTGGTGCTATTAAAACTCCGTGGTGTGTGTACAACATGTAGAAGCACAAGCAGCGGGAACAATACATGAACGTGTGCATGCCATATATTTCTAACATTTATTTTTCAGTTCATGCTGGGTGGTCTAATACTGCTTTTTACATTACAACCAGTTGATCCCAAGTTCAGGGTTATTGAAACCATCATAAATAAAACCCATCTGTGCATTGTTTAAGTACCAGATGATATTTACAAAGGTTTCAGCAACTTTGCCATTTCTCTGCCAGAAAAAAGCACCGATGTCTTCCATCAGTTGTACAATCACAAATATTTGCATAATGCTGCCTTCACCCCAATAATCTTTTTGGGCAATTTCAAGTATGACTCAGAAGGAAAGAAATTATTTCTTTCTGCTGTTGCCCCTGTTGCATGTCAAGGTAACGGACGCTGTCTAAAGTAGCCCACACTCTGCCTGGAGACTGTCCACTGTAAGGATCCATGCCTTCTTCAGAACAAAGCAAGCCCATACACTATGTTAGTGTGAAAATCGTTTGTTGGCGAGTAGCAGCCTTGTGTACCTATTAAGAATCACTTCCAAAAACCCTTTAGAACCAAAGAACTGGATATTTTGT